AAAAGGAGGGTTTCACCGGCATGGATATCACTCAATTGATAGAAATAGCCAACAAAGCCTACATGAACAGAAAAGCCACTGCCAAGCGGGAAGCTCACAAGAAGAAGAAAGTCAGCCTCCTAGCAGCGGCCCTCAGAGAGGAGGGATCAAGAGGGCAAAAGAAGACTTGCCCGCCAAAAGGGGAAAAGCGACGGACCCCACTGGGAGCAGACCAGTGTGCCTACTGCAAGGAGACTAGGCACTGGAAAAATGAGTGTCCCAATAAAGGAAAACTTCGGAAACCTAGCAAATATCAAGGGGAGCCACAAGAAGACAACCTTGTTGGGTTAGCCGGCATAGATTCTGACTGAGGGGGACTGGGCTTGATATGGTAGACATCAGAGGAGAACACTCGGTAGTCACCATGCCTGTGGCCGCCCCAGAGAGGACAGCCACAATACTTGGAGCGAACGGGGACTGGGTTGTCCAGAAACCCTTCTGCCAAGCTCGCTTGTGTGAACTCGGGGGCCATCAGGTTCTGTCAGGGCTGGTGGCAACTACCCGATAGCCGCATCATAGTCCCGGTAACCCTCGGGCCTCACCTGGTATCTGAGTACCATAAGCTCACTCATCTTGGAAAAACTGCCCTGGAAGCCCTTCTGAAAAAACAGTATTACATCAGCCACCTGCCAGTACTGTGCCAAGCAGGAGGGGAACGGCGCACTACCTGTGCCAGGAACAACGCGCATTCCATGCCTGGGCCCTCTCCTGGAGCCCAGGGAACAGGAAACGCTCCTTTTGAGGACCTAGAGATAGATTTCACAGAGGTTCTGCCCAGCCACAGGTACAAGTACCTCCTCGTTTTAGTTTGCACATACTCAGGATGGGCAGAAGCATATCCCACTAGGACTGAAAGAAGCAGAGAAGTCAAGAAGGCCCTCCTAGGGAATGTCATCCCTAGGTTCGGCCTACCGCTGAGCATCCACAGTGACAACGGACCAGCCTTCGTAGCTGAAATCATCCAGACCCTGTCGAAGGCCCTCGGCATATCACGGAAACTCCACACGGCATATAGGCCTCAAAGCTCAGGGAAAGTAGAGCACATGAACCGTACCCTTAAGAAACATTAGCCAAATACAGCCAAGAAACCAGTCTCTCCTGGGTAGATCTACTTCCTTTGGCCCTGCTACATATCCGTTGCACCCCTAGAAAGTTAGGCTTTTCCCCTTTTGAGTTAGTATATGGAAGGCCTTCCCCAAATTTAGGAAGCATCCCGGGAAACCTACATCAAGTGGGGGACCGGAGCCTGACCGAACAACCTCAGGCCCTGGGAACTACCCTGTCAGAACTATAGCAGTACACAGTTGAAAGGGACCCCATCCCTCTAGGGACTCCAGTCCATCCATTCCAGGCTGGAGACCTAGTATGGGTCAAGGACTGGAAAAAGGAGCCCCTCAGGCCACGCTGGACAGGACCCCACACTGTAGTTTTAACCACCCCTACTGCTCTTAAAGTTATAGGTATCACCCCGTGGGACCATCATTCCAGAGTCAAGAAAGCCCATGACATTCCCGAGGAGTGCTTGGAAGACTAGAGAGCCAGCCCGGACCCAGGTGAACCCTCAAGATCCGGCTAAGGCAGACAGCTACCCGATGAGCACAGAAGACCTCTGGTTCCTAGTTGCAGCCGAACTCATCACCCTAATCCTTGGACTTGGACTTGCTGCAACAGCCCCTCCTGACTGGACTTTACTTGCTAGAGTTGTATTGTGTACTATTTACTATACCCTGGCATCATGCATTTTCTTAGGAGAGGAATGCTACTTCGCAAGTCAGTCAGGAATAGTAGTTACCAAAGTAAAGGAACTCAGGGAGAGACTCAAACAACGGAGGAAGCAAGAAACTGCCGGGGGATGGTGGGGACAAGGACAATGATCCTCCTGGTTACTCCCCCTCTCGGGGCCACTCATCACCATTGCCCTCTTTGTCAAAATGGGTGCTTGCCTCCTCACCCTACTAATGAGGTTCATTGAAAATTCAGTCTCCTGCCTAACCACAGCCAAGGTCCTAGCTTTACAAGGGTATCCCATGCTAGATGACTTTAATGATGCCCTCGAGGCTCGCCGCCTCAGGGGCACCAAAGGGGGGAATGATAAGGGGAAACTCGGTCTAAAATGGCCAACATGCCCGGCCGGGCGTGGCTCAGCGATTGAGCATCAACCTAGGATCCAGGTGATTGGGGTTCGATTCCCGGTCAGGGCACATGCCTGGGTTGTGGGCTCGATCCCCAGTCGGGGGCGTGCAGGAGGGAGCCGATCAATGACTCCCTCATCATTGATGTTTCTATCTCTCTCTCTCCCTCTCCTTTCCTCTCTGAAATCAATATATACTTAACAAAATAAAGTAAAGTAAAGTAAAGTAAAGTAAA